CTTCACAATCTTAAAAGCAAAATCATTTTTACCCTTTCAAGCAGACATCTCTGAGAAGATAATTTAAGATAAGATAACAGGATAATTTTTCTATTTTGAAAAAGTCTGTCATATGATTAACCCAATCGCTCCTGTAGTTTTTTTTCTGAATGTTATTACATACAAATGACCCCACATGTGCTAAGCCGACAAGGAGTCTATCAGTAGCCGTAGTGACCAATCCTGATTTCCCCATTTCCAAAAGTCGAGGAAAAGGGTAAACAGATGAGATAGGTAAGACTAATAACCGACTCTTTGGTGACTAAGCATTTGTAGAGCCATCTATGTGTAAATACAACAAATAAACTTGTATTACATTGAGTATGGCATGTATTTCATGAACAAATCTTAGATAACCCAAAAATTGACAGTAGCATCATAATCACTAAACTTGACCAGGGGTGGGGGGTAGTTATCCTTGATAAATCTGGTTTCTTACAAAAATTACTGTCAATATTTTCGAACACCTCAAAAATTTACTAAGCTCACTACCCATCTCCTCAAACTGAAAGACAAAATTAACAGGATCATACGCCCTCTAAAATCATTCATAGCCAGAGCGGTGTATGAATCCTTTTTGCAAGCGGCTCCCAACCTAGACGTCTATATTCCCAAAGTACACGAAAATAGCTGACCATCAAGGCCTATAATCTCTCTATTTTTTTAGTACCTATTCATCCATCCTTTAACATCGAATTAACTGTTGATGACTATGATAATAGCTTGTTTTGACGTAGAGTTCTTTATTCACAAATGTACCTCCTTCTGAAACAAGTAAAATTATTGCAGATTGTTTACCAGACCATTTTCTAATCTAGTTTTTCTTTCCTAGATTTATTAACTAAAGATTCAGTCTTTTATTTCAGTGGACAATCATATTCTCAGACTGACAGAGTTGCAATGGGTTGACCAATTAGTCCTAGTTATGCTAATGCCTTCTTATGCCACCATGAAGTAAATTGGTTAGAGCTATGTCCACCCGAATCTAGCCCAATTTTATACAAAATATATGTTGACGACACCTTCATGCTCTTTAAGTACAAATCACATGCTGAGAAGTTTCTCAACTACCTAAACACCCAACACACCAGTATCAGGTTCACTCGTGAAATGGAGCATACTAACCAACTAACCTTTTTAGACACTTTAATTACAAAAGATAATGGTAGTTTATGTACCGCTGTTTACCGTAAACCAACTTTTACAGGTCTTGTGATAAATAACAACCCTCCCTGACCACGAATCGAACCCAGGTCACTCCGGGTATGGAACCGGAGGGCCAGTACTAAATCAACCATGCCACACGATCCACTAAAAGGAGTGTGCAACTAGGATCTCCATAGCTCCATAGACATTACCTATCTATTCATACTAGAGTAATGATAGTGACGTTTTACACACACTCCCCGTGGGCACTTGATAGAAATGTATTGAGGGTCCAGTGAAGAGTTTCCTTAGTAACACACCACAAGAATACAAAATTAACTGCACTCGTGCTCTGATATGTAGGGCCTTTAACATATATACCACTTGGACTTTATTAATAATCAAATCCTTTTTCTCCCTAATAGCCACTGCATCTAAAGAAGTAAAGTTCATCAAACTATCATACCTGGGATATGCAAGTTCAATTTTGTATTAACAAACAACCACACCATAGGCACTATCCTCATAAATATGTGCTATTTTTTTTACTTATTTTTTGTCCTAGCTATAATACTAGGTGTGTTGGCTAAATGTTGGTTTAAACACCGTATTTTTGAACATATGGGTATGTCCGTAAGATCTGGCTTTCCTCTCAGTAAACTACCTTTCTCTGCAATCCGACACCATTCAAACACACAAGACCACCTATACACTAAGACAGATTTTAAAATTCTGTCCACTGCTTCTAACAGATATGACCTCCTAGTTTCAGAATCTTTGTTTATTCAAACGATGTAACCAGAGCTTAACAATGCTCTAACAGCCATACAACTTTACAGTCTAACTACCTGACGAACCATTATGCTCTTCAAAGTTTCAAAGGTTGTAATTTTAGTTCTCAAGTTTTCTTTTACTTTTAAAATTGGTCATACATAATTGCACTCTTGTTTATAATTTCATTATGGTTAAGTATTTTGTGTTTTGTTAGATATTTTGTGTTCTTATGATGTTTTAACTAGTTTAATTTTACTTATGTTTGCCTGGTCTAAAAAATAATTGATAACTGCTTTAAAAACTCATATGCATTATTTTGCACAGAAATACCTGACGCCATACTTGACGGACGTGCGAGTCGCCGCTCCTGGGAGCCAGGGCCGGCTGTTAGCCTCACCTGTTATTCTGCTCCTTCTGGAATATTTTATTCACTTAGGCTAGTACGAGTGCTTGTGCTGTGACTACTCCGTGATTTTCAGTGAATACCAGTGTCAGTGTACTTTCCAAGAATTCGCCCCCTTTCCTTTTTCTCTGGATTTGTGTCCCCTTGCTGTGGTTCATAATCTTCAGTACAACAGGAAAATATTATAGTTTCTTAAACACGATTGTGAAGTGAAGTAGCAAGGGAGGCCGGAGTCATTCTGCTGTCTCAAAACGACCTCTCAACCTCCCCCTTGGACGTGGAAGTTCCGGATGACCGGATGGAAGTGTTGTGGGTGTGGGCCACGCCCCCTCACCACCCCCGCCTCGCCGCGTCCCACGTCTGCTGTGTGCTCTACCACCCCCCACGAGCCCCCACCAATCAGCTGCTACTCAGTCACTTGACCCATATCACTGACAGTCTGCGTGTGATATATCATAAAAGAAAATTATATGTTATTTTAATGAAATAGACACCCCTGACCTGCAAAATGAGCTTCATCTTTCACAAGTAGTGAACTTTCCCACTTGTGAACAAAGAACCCTGGATTTGATCCTTACATGACTGGTACCAGCCTCCTCTACCATACTCTCCTGTCGGCTGCATCAGACACGTATCAGTGTTTTGGCTGCCTTCACCCACCGTCTCTTAGCCAAAGCAGACCAAGACCAGGAAATACAGGCCACTCGCACAGTCCTCTATCATACAGTTCGGGCAGTGGATTATCCAGCACCCGTGGAGAGACGTTCTTACCGCCGTTGACGTGGAGGACAAGTGGCACTACTACCTCTCGACCGTCACTACGGCTTTCCACCACTTCTTTTCGGAAAAGACACACCCATCGGACCTGCCTTGGATCACGGGTCGCATCAAACGCCTCACTCAGCAGAAGAACCAAGCCTTCCGCTCGCACATCACCTCCTGCAAATCACTCCGCAACACAGTCTTCAGGGAAATAAAAGCAGCCAAGGAAACCTTCTACCACAACAAACTACAACACCTGCAGCCCAGCCAATGGCACGGAAAGTTAGGGAGCTGTGTGGCTTAGCAAATTGGCCGTGAACGTTTCCATGCACCGGCAACCTCACACCCAGTGAAGCAGAGGCTCTCAATGACCACTTCGCCTCGACATGCCAGCAACTACCCCCCTTGGACACCACCCGCCTCCCCGCCTGCCGGCTCCAACAATCAGCCAGTTCCAGATGCTTCAGAAGCTGGTAAAAATCCCCGTCAAGAGAGCCACCACCCCCCTGACCTGTCCATGCACCTCATCAAGGAGTTCGCAATGGAACTTGCCACTCCTCTTACCTCCATGGTCAACGCCTTACTGCAACAGTCTAAGCGCCCACCTCAAAGGAAGACCGCCTTTGTCAGCGCCATCGGGAAAACCCCAAGCCCCGCCTCATTTGGCGAACTACGACCCCTCGCCATTACTCCGTTGCCCAGCCGTCTGTGTGAAACCTTTGTCGCCGACTAGGCTTACCAGGACCTCGCGGCCAGCGTTGACAGTCGGCAGTTCGGGAACGTGCGCTCCTCTTCTACCACACTGGCTCGACAGCTTCCTCGACCTCGTCCACGCCCACCTCGACAACGCATACACATACACATACACATACACACACACATGTACATATAAGAGCCTATATATATAAATATATATATTATATATATATATATATTATATACATATATTATATATATATATATATTATATACATATATTATATATATATATATATTATATACATATATTATATATATCTATTATATATTATATATATATTATATATATATATACATTATATATATATTATATATATATATATATTAGATATATATTATATATATATAATATATATATATATATATATATATATATATCATATATATATCATGTATATATATATATGATATATATATATATTTTTTATATATATATATATATATATATATATATATATATATATATATATATATTATATATACATCATATATATATATTATAAATATATATATATTTATATATATATGTATTATATATATATATATATATATATATATATATATATATATATATTATATATATGTATATATCTATAGTATATATATACACACATACACACACGCACACGCACATGTACACGCACACGCATACACATACACACACACACATGTACATATATATACATATATAGATAAATAAATAAATCAATAAATATATATATATTATATATACATATATATATATATATATATATATATATATATATATGTTATGGGCAATAAGTGAAACCAGTCATTACATGTAATGACTAACATTGTTACGCATTACGTGTAATGGCTGTGACCACCAGTCATTTCACATAATGAGTCAAATACCCAGTCATTCTGTGTAATGACTAAAAAATGGGACCATTTATTTCATGAAATGACTGAACTAATAACGCAAAGATATCAATTACTATTCATACTTTATTTCAACTCCTAAAAACATTAATACACGCATGTGCAAGTATTCACGCTTTGTAATTTGTTTGTGCAAATCATTGTGCAATTGAAACTACTGTTCACACATTCCTTCAGGCCGTGAAATACAATTAGGTACCATACAAGTTATCCT